GTATAAAGGTCTATTTTAAGCTAATAACAACTTAACTTTGATCACATACAAGAACATTACCCTTTTACTCCTCCCTGCCATTTTATGTTCTTGATGTCAGTTTACTTTTTATATTGTGTATCCATTAACAAATAATTGTAGCTATATTTATTTTTAATACCTTTCTACTTTAACCTTTAGGCTAGAGTTAAGTGATTACCACATCACTGTATTAAAGTATTAGAGTGTTCTGAGTTTCACTATATACTTACATTTTCCAGTGTATTCTATATACTCTTATGCTTTCATGTTATTAATTAGCACCCTTTCATTTCTGCTTGAAGAACTCCTTTCAGTATTTCCTGTAAGGCATGTTTAGTGGTGATAAGCTCCCTTAACTTTTTTTTTGTTGGGTGGGAAAGCATCTCATTCCTGAAAGACAACCTTGCCAGGTAAAGTATTCTTGGTTGGAAGTTTTTTCTTTTAGCACTTTGAATATATCACCCCACTCTCTGAGCCTGCAAGGTTTCTGTTTAGAAATCTGCTGAGAGGTTTATGGGGTTTCTCTAGTACATGAGGAATTTTTTCCTTTTGATGCTTTTAAACTTCCTTCCTTGTTATTGATTTTACAGTTTTATTCCAATGTGTTTTGAAGAAGATTATTTTGGGTTGAAAATTTGGGGGACCCATAAGCTTTATGAACTTGTATGTACATCTTTCTTCCCAGATTTGGGAAGTTCTCAGTTATTATTATTATTATTATTATTATTATTTTTATTATTCATTTCAGGTATATAAAAGAATGTAATAGTTAGACATTAATACCCATCACAAAGTGATAACCCCAATCTACTACCCCTCTACCCCTCTGACATAGTATATAGCTGTTACAATTCCACTGACTCTATCCTTGTGTTGTACTTCACATCCTGTGACTATATATATATATATGATTATAGTTGACATTCATTATTATTCAGCTTTAGGTGTACACTGTAGTGGTCAGGCGCCTACACTGTCCATGAAGTGATCTCCCTAATAAGACAAGTGTCCATTGGATGCCCTACAAAATCTTTACAACATTATTAATTATATTCTTCAAACTGTCTTTCATATCCCCGTGGAAATCTTGTGGTTACTAATTTTTCTTTCTAATCCCCTCACATTCTCCCTCATTTCCACCCCACTCCCAACTAGCAATGCTCGGTTTTCAGTCATTATTATTATTATTATTATTTTCAGGTGTACAAAACAATGCAATAGTTATAGTTTTTACACCTCACAAAGTGACAAACCCCCTCCCCCAATGCACCACCCCACTCCCCCCACGATATTCAGTCATAATTTTAAAAAATAAGCTTGGGCCGGCCGAGTGGCGCGTTGGTTAAGAGCTGGCTTGGGACGCCAGAGGGCCCTGGTTCGGATCCCACATGTGAGGGCCAGTGACACTGCCCTCTACAGCTAAGATGCTGAACAACAGCTCGACCTGGAGCTGGGCTGCCATGAGTCTCCGGCGACGGTGTAGGCTGCAACCCCTGTGGCAGTGGATTGCCATGGGCTACCGTGTGTAGCCAGCAGCCAGCGTGAATGGCCATCCAGAAGCCAGCGACTGATCTGCCTTGCAGGAAGAGTGCAATGATGGTGCCAACTTGGGCCAGTGAAGCAACGTCCTCCACAACTAGACTGAAGAATGAAAGGATAGCAACTTGCCTGTTCCTCTTCCCCCCAAATCCCCAATAAAAATCTTAAAAAAAAAAAAAGCTTACTGCCCCCTTTTCCTCCTTTCCTTTTGAGACTCCAATAATGTGCAGATTGTTTCTCTTAATGGTATCCTATAATTCATGTAGGCTTTCTTCACTAATTTTCATTCTTTTTTCTTTGGCTTCTCTGAATTTGTAATTTAAGGAATAAGAAGACATCACAGGGATTTAGGAAACAGTGACATGATATGATTGTATTTTAAAAAGGTCAAACCATGGGAAGTTGTCTTCCTTATTTCATCGTACTACAGCTTTCATGGCAGTAATTTGCTCAGCCAAATTTCTTTAGCTAATTTTGTTTACAGCTGGGCTGTCATTTGGAAGGGATGTCACATATTCTAGCCTATAGGGTGTTCTAACATTTTGTACAGAAGTTCTCATGTTTTCTTTTCCTTCTGTGTATGTGAGAAAATCACACTGCTTGGATCCTTTGTAGTTGTTAACTTATTTTGGCCAGTGGGTTTTGGGTAGAGTATTTAATTGCAGGTTTGAGGCATTCCAGCTCTGTGCATTTCCTGTGTTGACCCTTGAAGCATCATGTGGAGATGGCAGCATAATAAGATTATGTAGAAAGATCCCATGGAGCAGAGTTAGCTGCTGACCCACATTGGACACATAGTATGAGAAATTATAACCTTTTGTTATTTAAACCACTGGGATTTGGGGGATGTTTGCTATTACAGTATACCAGTGTACCACTTCTCTTAATTGCATTTTGATAGGAAGAAAGACTTAAAAATCAAATAATTTAATTCCTAATAGTAGATTGTAGGTGTAAAAGATAGATTGATGGGAAAGCCATTTTAAAAAAGGAGATGTGTGTCTCTCAGACTTCTGGAAACATGCTTAGACTGCCTTTGGGAAAATCTAGTTCTCCTTTAATTTATTTATCTATGACTATCCCTGAGAAAAGGAGAAAATTGCTGTTAGAATAATGTTAAACAAGGTAACAGTAATAGAAGATTTATTTGTAGATGTCTCTATAGTGAAAAAAACTTTGTGGTTCAAAGTATGATTAAAATGTTCAGAAGAGAGAATCTGGTCCTTTAAAAAACAAGTAGGTGATAGAAAAGTTTACGAAAATTACTTGAATATTATGTAATAAAGACATCATTCACTCATTCATTTATTCTTTTACTAATTGAACATTTATTGAGTGCCTATTATGTGCATGGCACTGTGTTGTATACTACAAGGCCATCATTCCTGTCCCCAAGCCTAGGAACCAAACGACTGACCTGTAGCTCAGAAAGAAGATGAATAGGGAAGAGGGAGCACAGTTAGCAGTGGGTGTGAGCCTCCTTGTTTACAACTTAATTTTAAATGGAAGCTTATTGGAGATGAGGGTGGAGGAAAAATACTGCTTTCTCAGGTCCCATACTTTTGGGGTCTTTCTGTCCCCTCTTAAAGAGAAAAACAATTAAGAGACACACACTGTTCAGAACAGATATGGACACTGAAAGGAGAAACTCCTTAGGAGAAACCAGGAGCCATAGGTGGAATAATATGGGATTTTGTACGCTATCATCTTCCTAAAGAGATTCACATCACAAAGGCTTCTAACCAAGGCTTGTTGAGAGCTTGGGAAAAATGAGAAACAGGTAGAAAGCCGAGGTTACTTGAAATACTTGGAAACACTTAGGAGACTGAACCTTAAAACCAGTTAGAAAAGATGGGAGGTTGTATTGCTTAGTAGTTTAACAGTTGGACTCTGGCACCAGACAGATTTGGCTTCTAGTACTAGTTCAGCACTCAGCTGTGTGACCAAGTACAGGTTATTTCACCTCTTTAAGCTTCAGTTTTCTCATATGTAAAATAGAGTGAAATTTTCAGGCAGATCTAGAGTCCATATGAAGCATGCTTTGTTAATTCATTGCTCAGAATACATAAATTCTCAAATAATCAAGTTTCTTCACTTAAAAAAATATTCAATTCTGGGATTGAGTATTGAATAAGGATTCATTTTCCAGCCACCCATCTATCCAGCCATTATTCATTCATCCATTGAACAACTAATTATTGCGTGGCATTGTAGATGGAATTGTGATCAAGAAGATATTATCCCTGCATTTCTGAATCTTACTACAGGTGAATACAGGTTACATATATAACTACTGCTGTCATATGCTAGTAATGAAAAAGCACAGATACTAGTAATGAGAAACCATAGGAGATACAACTTGGAGGTTGTTCTTTTTTTCATTTCTCCCCTCTTGAAATTGCATTTTATCATTTTTTTTTTTTTTAGCTGAGCCATCCTGCCACCTGTTGGCAGCTCAGCGGCTGCTCACCTCGTGCCAGGACTCAAACTGCTGTTACTCAGAGCTCAAACTCTTGAGCGAGCTCTTAACCAACTGAGCCACTCAGCCGGTCCACATTTTATCATTTCTAACTTTTCAGCTCCCACTAACCAGTATGCCACAATAGTCTGACTTCTTGCTACTCACCCTGCCCGCCCCCCATTCCCACATTTGCTGAAAATGGCTGAGATCAACAACAACACCCTATTGTTACTCCTCATGCTTTCATTCTTCATATTAATTACTCTCTGCAGCATTTCACATTTGCCAACCACCTATGTTTCTTGAGACATTATCTTCCCATGAATTCCACAGATCTATTGCCTTTCTTATCATCTATTCTGCCTCTTCTGCTCTTTACATTTTGAGAGGGTCCCTAGAGTTTAATATTTGAAGTTTTCTATACTTGCTTCTATTTGTGATTTCCTCTTTTCTCACATAAATTACCATCTACATGGTGAGGAATGCTAAATCCATAGATCTGGTCCCAGATCCTGATGCCTTGAAATTATGGGCATTTAATTTATTTAAAATGGAATTTAATTTAATTCAAAACTAAAACTATCATCTCTACAACTTTTTTGTTTCTCTTTTTTTATTTCACTGGAATTAATGACAACATTTACTCAGTCCTGTTGCTTGGAAATTTTGTGCTCCTACCAACAGTATTCTTTCAACCCAAATTTCTCTTTAGTTTTGCTTGTTTGACTTATTCCTATTTGTTAAGACTCAAGTTTAAATGACATCCCCTCTGAAAACATATACTGATTCTCTAACTCAGATTAAGTTGCTTTTTTATTTATAAAACATTAATCATTTATTTATATGAACACTTAACAGGTTGCAATTTATTTATTTTTCAGGTTACTCTCATTGGCCTGAAATTTAACTCTTTATTGGACACCTAGTAACTTGGTACATAGTAAGGACTCATCCATTAAGACTTTACTTCTGGAATTCTTTAAAGATTCACAAGCTTTTTGACTGTATCTTTGAAGGCTTGTTTTACCTGTTGGTTCCTTAGGGTGTAAATGAAGGGGTTCAACAAAGGTGCAACTGAAGTAATAAGTAGAGCTACTCCCTTGTTAAGTGTGTCCCCTTCTTTTGTTGAGGGCTTAATATAAAGGAAGATGCAGCTTCCATAAGAGAGGGAGATGACAATCATGTGGGAAGAACATGTGGAAAAGGCTTTTTTCCTTTGCTGGGCAGAGGGCATCTTCAGAATAGTCCTGATGATGAATGTGTAGGAGAAAATCACTAGCACGAGAGTGACCACCAGGGCCACAGATGCCACAAGAAAGACAATCTTCTCTATGAGGCTTGTGTCTGAACAGGAGAGTTCCAGAAGGGGCTTATAGTCACAGAAATAATGATTCAGCCTGTTTGATGCACAGAAGTCCTGCTGACTCATCAGAGTGATTGGTGGTATAATAGCCATTAACCCTCCCAGCCATGAGCAGAGAACCAGCTGGTTACAGAGTTTGTTGTTCATGATGGTCGTGTAATGCAGGGGTTTGCAGATGGCCACGTAGCGATCATAGGACATGGCAGCCAGAAGGTAAAACTCTGTTGCCCCAAGGAATATGGCAAAGAAATACTGAGTGAAGCAGCCAGCAAAGCTGATACTCTTGTTCCCAGTTGTGATGCTAGTCAAGACCCTGGGAATGAAGATGTTTGTGAAAGAAATTTCTAAGAAGGAGAAGTTCCGAAGAAAGAAATACATGGGAGTCTGAAGGTGGGAATCCAGCAAGGTGAGGATGAGGATAGTCAGATTTCCAATGATGCTCAGTAAATAGGTGAGGAACAGGAAGGTGAAAACCACCACCTGGAGTTCAGGAACGTCTGTTAGACCCAGCAGGATGAACTCAGTAAACATGGTTCTATTTTTCATTGTTGAAAAAATTTGAATCTTAAGGTAAAAAAGTGATAGTAACAAAAGGTGAGAAAGGAACAGGTGCTCTAAAAAGGACACGTGAAATCTGAAGAGAACAAAAGGAGATGGACTATGACATTTTCCTGATGACATGACCCAGACCAGTGGCCCATCTGAATGATGTTGGATCCTTCCCAGTCCCATTTGCCCTGTATAGAAAAGTTCTTGTTATTTTTCCCCACATGGTACTCTCCCCAGGGCCAACATACAAGTAAAACAAGTGTCTGCCTTATAGATGATGTTCAAAAGTTTGTGAAATGAGTTAAGAAAGGAATGTCTCTAGCAGCTGCTTCCTTCCAGAATAGTTACTCATTTTCTTTTTGCTGTATTCACCTTCCTTACTTCCCACTGATTCCATTCATTGCCCTACTTCCTTTGTCTGCCTAACTTCTCAGAATTCCTGTTTTTCTTACTCTTCCCTGCCATTTTTCTTTTTATTTTTCATATAGTTACAGCAGTCTCTCGTCTTCCTTCTGGTTCAATTCCCTTAATTCTTTTGATGCCAAAAAGTACCAGCTTCCCAATGGACCTTTCAAGCTTCTCTGCCCATATCTGTCCATTAGAATTCAAAGATTTGTGTGCAGCAGTCCTTCCCTATCCACAGTTTCACCTTCCATGGTTTCAGATTTCTAGATTTCTTGGACCATAGCCCCTGTGGATAAGGGGAGGGGGACTACTGTATTAGGATTATCATTCTGTTCTTTGAACAATTCCACATACCTATCTCGGGTTCAATAAATATTAAGTTAGAATAAAAATCTGTGTTTACTTACACAAACACATTCAGAATCTTTAGATTTAGAGTTCTGTTTACCCATAGGATTGGGAGATTTTATTATGTTCCAAGGAAGTTTTAGGAGCTTAAGAATATTTAAAGCAAGAGTTCTGAAGTAGGGCTCCATTAATTTTTAGATTGGATTTGCCATGTTTATGAATTCACAAAATCATATGTAAAACATTTTGTGTGTGTGGGTAGGGCAATTTTATAGGAAAAGCATATAAGACTATGATCCAGGGTTTTCTAAGAGACTCTATATTTAAATACTTCAAGAGCTTTTCATTTCTACTGATTTGTGAACTCATGTAGTTAAGAGTCACATTATATGGGAGTGTCATTATTGATTTACTCAAGACTTTTTTATGTATCGTTTCTATAAACATTTATAAGGCAGCAGCTTTCAAACATTTTTGACCATAATTTATTGTACATTTTATATAATTTTCTGGCAAACATATATCTAACTTAAATAAAGTGATATAACTTTAATAAAGTATATCTAACTTTAATAAAGTATATATTTAACTTAAATAAAAGTTTTACAGAACACTCCTTACTATGTGGTAGAATTTGATATTTAAAATTTTATTTTATTAAATTTTTTCTTTTCAAATGCTGGTTGCAACTCATTAAATTGATTTCATAACCCACTAGTGGGTTGCAGTCCACAGCTGGAATCAGGAATCAAGAAAAGTTACACAGTAATCTGGATGCCCCTGCCCTCCTGGTTACCAACCTGGAATCCTCAGGAAGTGATGGAATAGTCAGCTCTGCATCCATTTCAGGCTTCACAACTGCAGAGAAGTAAAATCAATGAAACTGTAAACAAGGAATATACTTTCTCACTTGACTATCCAAATGGCTATAGTAAAATTTTAGTCCTCAATATCCTAGAGGTGAATAAATATTTCAAGGCCACATAATTACAAAGTAATATAAAATTTATTCCATTTTCTAGTTATCTGCCACCAAATCCTATCCTGCATTTCACAGAAATAACAAAAACTTCCAGAGCTTCTTTTAGTAAGAAGTAATCTTCTGTGGCCCCTTATCAGTTTAGTGGGAATGTGCCTATTTCTGTTCTTCCACTAATTCAAACTGGAGTTGAATCTGAGGTTTGTTTTTTTCTTTTTAATTAAAAAAATTTTTATTTTGTAAATATTCTGTATTTTTTTAAATGGAGCCAATAAATAGAAAGGTAAAAGAAGAACTTCGAAGAGCAGAGAAGTCCTGGATTGTTCTGTTCTAGGAGAAATGAGGTTGATGGCCTCAGAAGGAAGAATATGAATTCCCCCTTCCACCCAATGTTATCCTTTACCCAGAGTGACACAGGTTGTATTTGCTCTATTGAGAGCATGCCCTTAGGAATTAATTGAGTGAAGAAGCACAAGTTGCCCTGGGAATCTTCAGAGCAGGCTAATGACGTCCCTTTGTCAACAACTTTGGGAACAAATTTTAAACATATGGCTAAGAGATGAGGTCCAGAGAGACTAGCATGGAGGTGAGGTGGTGGTGGCAGGGCGTAGCGAGAGAGTATCAGCTCCAGAGAAGAGGTAGACTATGGAGTCAAGAGGGTGACACTCTGGAGGGGGTGGGCATAGCTAGACTTGGTCATGGATAAGGAGCTTAGGCGGAACTATTTGTAGGTCATGAAGGTCCTGAAAAGTTGCATTTTCTAAACTTCATTAGCTTGGTTGTAATTAGCCCATTTATAGACGACTGGCTAAAGACAGTAAGTGGTCATTTTCATTATTTGCAGTATGCATAAAGAAATGAAATATAAAATAGACAAAAGTGAAATGCTCAGATTGAGGCAGAAGAAGGAGCCTATATTGGCCTATGAGTCACTTCTGAGAAAACACTTGCACATTTTCAGTTTAGGGTAGTGAAGTACTTATTAAGATATGTATATGTTGCCTGGGAGGACTAATCCTTTGCCACCCAAAGATACCTTCACAGCAGTTAATTTATCAGGTTAATCACCTATTTATCAATATAGTACACACCAGAAAAACCTATGTTAGCCTTAGGAACAAAATACCAGAGTTAGGGACAACATACCCACCACACAAATGTCTTACAAATGGCTTCCCCATACATGCTTTCATACAATTCTCACAATAATGGTGAGGCCCAGAAAGTGAATGTGGTCTAACCAAATATAACACAATAATCAACTCCATCTTGAATGACACAAGAAACTTCATCTCTCTGAATCTCACTTTCCTGTTTTCTGTAAAATGGGGATCATGTCTGTTAAATAGACTTATAATTGTGAAGAGCATAGATCAGTACTCGGTACATAGTATAGACCAAACAAATATTTCCCATTTTCTCTTCTCCATAGAGGGAATTACTATATAAGTATATTAGGCAATATTTCAACTATTTCTTTCAAATGTGTTCATAGAGAAGAAAGCTAAAGTCATTATTGGAAACTGTTTGGCTCTGACAAATTGCAAATACTCTGTTTAGAGAAATCTCTTCCCTAGAGATTCATACTTTAGAAAGGAGAGGAAGGGGAAGTAAATTGAATGAAGGGTCATAGCTCACTGATGAGTCAGTCTAGGCTGCAAATTGTGCAAGCTTGGAATTTAGGAACGAGAATCATTATAAAATAAGACAAGGAAATTAAGAGGTGAAAATCTGCTTAGGAAGTGATTCATGGAGGAAATTATTTGATAATGAATTATTTGAAAAGGCTATGCTACTTTCTAAAGTTTAGGAAGTACCTAGGTTGCATGATAAGGAAATGATTTTGGTAAATGTAACTGATTGAAGATAGTTATCTTGGAAATTATAACACTTTTTGAGGAAGCATCCTAATGTCAGAGTTTCTGGTTGCTGATTTTATAGGTGTTATATTTGTGATGAAGAAAGTAGAACATTAATTTTGTGCACGAGATGCTATAATAAGAATCAGTGAATATTATTCAGCCATAA